AATTTAACATAGCAGAGTGGAGAGGTTATGTGGGATAAGCTATTTTGAACGAGTGCGTTTTTGTCTAGACTTAAAGAGAGAAAAGGAAGTGATATTTCTTAAATCAGGAGGTCGTGAATTCCAGAGTTGAGGAGCAGCTGAAAGCCACGGTGGCAAGACAGGGGGAGAAAGAGAGAAAGAGAAGAAGATCTAAGACACCGAGATGGGATCATCATCAGAGATAGATGATGAACAGCCTTAAATGTATACAGAAGTTGTTAGGTTTAATGTATGTGTTGTAGGTTGCCATTTAAAAAGCTAGAATGCTTCTGTTTGCTATCTATGTAACCTACGCATACGACTACGTGCACGACATTGATAAGGGGAACAAGCAGCCTTGAGAAGAACAGATTCTACCAACAACAATCTGGGAGAGCTGCACTCCCATCATATAACCACAAACATAATTGCACAGCACAATCACACTTTGCAACCAGAATACAGCAACAAGCTTTATGAATATTAATGTGTGTAACCAATAAAAAAACATGCAGGGAGAAAGCAAGTTGAAGTGGGTTGGAAACAACAAAGCTGCTGCAGGACAGGAGTGATGTGATGGATGGAAGGGGTCCTGGTGATGATACGAGCCACAGAGTTCTGGACACATTAAAGCTTATTAATGGATTTTTGAGTAAGACCAAAAAGAAGTGAATTACAGTAATCGATCCGAGCAGTAACAACGCTGTGAACAAGAACGGCAGCGGCGTGTGGAGTGAGAAAAGGATGGAGACGATTAATGTTGCACAATTAAAAATATACAGACTGAGTAACATTATTAATGTGTGAATTGAAAGATAGAGTACTGTCAAGGATGATACCCAAACTTTTCACAGAGGAAGAAACGGAGACCGGCAAGTTATTGATCGTAATAGAGAAACTGTTGGTCCTGGATAATGTTGATTTAGAGTCGACCAAGAGAAGCTCAGATTTGTTATTGTTGAGTTTAAGAAAAGTAGAAGAGAACCATGAATTTAGTTCGGCTAAGCAGAGGGTGAGGGAGGATGGGGGGAGAGCAGAATCAGGTTTAGTGGACAGATAAAGCTGGGTGTCATCAGCATAACAGTGAAACTGGATATTATATTTATGGAAAATGTGTCCAAGCGGAAGAAGGTAGATAATGAAAAGAAGGGGCCCCGGACAGATCCATGGGGCACGCCAGTGACCAGAGGAAAGGGCTGAGAAGTGAAGGATTTGAGTTGAATGAACTGAGTGTGATCAGACAGGTATGATTTAAACCAGGCTAGTGGAGTATGGGAGAGACCAATGGAGGCTAGCCTACTGAGGAGAACAGAGAAGAAATAGTGTCGAAAGCAGCGCTCAGATCGAGGAGAATAAGAATGGAAAGTAAACCGGAGTCAGCTGCCATAAGAAGATCATTGGTTATTTTTATAAGTGCTGTTTCAGTGCTGTGGGAGGGACGAAAACCAGACTGGAACTGTT